GATTATTATTACGCATACAAATATGAACTTAAATATTTACATACATTGAATTGGAGTAGTAAAATACCTTCTAATGAATATTAAATTTTTTGGTGATTAAAGATAAGTAAGTATTAAAAATATAGATGTTAAGTTAATAATATACACTCGACCACATCCCCAAATTTCGTTAACTTTATAAGCTTAAAAAAATAAAATTATTTAATTTGGCATTCGTCCTCGTAAACCAATTTTTTTTTTTTAATCCACAGATCATTTGGTACCCATTTTGTTATTCTACATTGCACTGAATTTTTAAAATAATTTTTTGAAGTAATGATATCTTTGAAATTACAAGGTCCTTGAAAAAAAGCTGACGTAAGACGGAAAATCTACAAACGCAGTTTTACTATAGCTTCTTAAATATGCTTTGATTGCTTCGTGTGTTTAGAANAACGCAGTTTTACTATAGCTTCTTAAATATGCTTTGATTGCTTCGTGTGTTTAGGTTTTTTTTTTTGGGTATGTCGCAAGGTGTAATCGATTAAACCAAAAGGGATTAGGCATGTCAGTATACCAATTTTGTACTGTTTGATATTCATCAAAATGATAAAACTATGTGTAAAAATGAAATAGCTAGCTCGATTTAAAAAAAAATCTAAAAAGAAGCTAATAGCGAAACACAAATTTCTATAGTTAAGCTTCGAAAATAATAGCTAAATCTAGTTATGAAATAACTACACTGGCCACACTGGTTATGAGTAATATTGGGTCATATAAAAAATCTCTGCGGATTTCTGCCACCACGTAGTGTTGATGCTTATAAATATAGCAATACTAATTCAATTCCGGCAAATTGATGTGCGTTTGAAAGGGGACATTTAGGCTAAATTTTTAGTTACAGACATGTGATTCGCTTCTTGTGCAAAAATGTCAAATACTACGTTTATGCGTAGGCAAATTCCCGAAATCATTTCATGAATTTGGGCTAAAGTTGGCTGCATAAACACAATATCATGAATTCAATTATACACGAAAACTAACCATGAATTTGGGTACCATTTCATAAAATCGTCAAGTGGAAGTGCGGCAAGGCCACGTTTAACAAACAGCTGTTTACTAGGGTTATGAAGTTTTTAGATCAAAAGCATTTAGTGGCATAACCATGACTTAAAACACTGGAAAAGTTACGTGGATTTGTTGTAATATTAAAGAAATTCAAATATAATAAAACCAAATGCACTAAAACCAAGTTAAATATAACATGGACCATTTCCTGGTACGAACGGCTTTTGAAAATTCAAAATAAGGCCGAAAAAGTCACAACACTACTGTTTATTTTTCGCTGGTGCACTGCCACTTTTTCAAAACACTTAATTTCATGTATTCGCGAATTATGCATAAACGGAACCATTTTTGAATAAATGAAATGAAGAATTCGTGAATTCTGCCGCATTAACATAGTAAAAGATGCACCTCGCCCTGCTCGGCCAGTCAGTGGAAAAGTCGATGAAATAATGAAAATGGTTGAAAAGGATCAGTCCAGTGCCTCCGTCTTGACCTGCACAGCCGCTAAACTTAAACGTAGAATACGTGATATTATTAGGATCATATTCAAGTTTAAACCGGTACACAAAATATACATACGTTTTGATTGTGTTGAATTGAATTTATTAAATCAATATGAATTGCAAAATATCAATACTTAGCAATAGAGAAGCAGATCCACATTAACTTCAATCATATGTGCCATCAGCTTGCGTCTGATATTGTGATACCTACATATTTCATGTGCGTGATGAATTAAGTTAAACTTTATTTGTTAAATACGTGACAACGCTCTAAATACAGTTTAGAAATGAAGCCTTTTTAAATCCATTCCATTTGATACCCATATTTTTAATACTTGCTTTCACTTATTAAATAATTTTAGTTTACCTTTTTAAACAGTTGGCAACCTTCTTTAATATTATTAATATTTCGACTAAGGATATCTTACCACCTTCGTTTCACGTCATGTTTTAATAATTCATTTAATTAAAATCTTATTTTCAAACAGGAGGCAACACTATTCAAAATATTTTAAAACGAAAACCTTATTAAATCTTTTTCAACTGACACACATATTGCGATACATATTTAAATGGTATATCTAATTCCAGGTGGCAACCCTCCTAAATACAATTAAGAAATAAAACCTTTTCAAAACCATTTTGATCGATACTCATAGTGTAATAATTGACTTAACTTAAAAATAATTTGAATTTGATTTTTTATCAGGTGGCAACTCTTTTTGAAAAAAAAAGTAGTTATTGCACATCCACAGGCCAAGCCTTTTAATTTCATACCACATTTTGTAAAATCGAAATCGGTACAGATCTGATGTGACGAAACAATTTTCGCGTATTATGCATAGATTATCTACTAAAAGAAAAATATATCCACAAACTTAAATCAAAATATTTACGTATGTATGTATTTACTTGCATACGCTGTGTCATAAATATTGCGCCATCTGTTACTCAAAAGCCGAAATACCTTCACGCACATACTTTATGTCTCCTTCTCTCACTTCCAACGCAAGCACGTGTTTGAAAGTTGATGACGAAGTGATTTTGTATGGAAAATCATTTATGCTCATATATATGAATAAAATAAACATACTTAGAAGATATCAACCAATACTTCCCATATACAAAACGAAAGCAAAAAACTTGCATTTTTGATTAAGGAAACGAAAAAAAATCATTCGAGCGGGTTTCGAGAATTTTGATAATAAAAAAAATTTGCTTATTTTTTCAACATTTTTTTTGCCTTAAAATGCTCGTTATTTGTTGAATTTTTATAAAATTTGTACACGATAATATTTCTACTGCGCCAAAGAACCTATATCCCGAAAATGAAAAATATACATATCTGCAAATCATAAGTTGCTAGAGCACTTTAAAGGCTCAAAATTGACCCCAAAATAAGCCAATATTTACCGTTGTTTCTGGGACAGACACCGAATCGGTTACTTACAGGAATGTATCTGTTTGGAATCTTGTCTTTGAAACGCCATACTTTTCTTTGAAATTGCTTCATTAAAACTACAACATTTAAGCATAGTCTCCATATCGAAATGTAAGTCCTATTCTACGTCAAAAAGACCGGCATGCGATCTGTCAGGAGATATCGGGGTTTGGAGTCATCCAAGAAGAGCAAGCTATTCAAAGAAGCTCGATGCTCGGGTGCCACGTAAACTAACGCAAAGAAATTTGATTGACCAAACTACTACCATCAGTGAAACCAAACGAATTTTTGAAACAAATCATTACGGCCGATGAAAAGTTGATTGAATATGAGAGTAAGCAACGCAAGCGATCATGGTTAAAGACGACTTCAAAGCCTGGATTGTCATCAAACAAGGTTATGTTGAGGGTTTGGTGGGATTGGAAGAGGATTGTCCATTATGAACTGCTACAACGTGGCGAAACGATCGATTCGGTCTTCTACTGTGCGTAACCCGAACGTTTGAACGAAGCAATCAAGAAAGAGGCACCAGAGTGACCCAAACGAAAAGGAGTTATGTTCCGTCATGACAATACCAGGCTACACACATCTTTGATGACTTGGAACAAATTGACGGAGCTTGGTTGGGATGTTTTAATGCCCGGATCTTGCACCGTTTGACTTCCATTTGTTTTTCGTCGATAAACCACGCAGGTTACAGATAATAATGACTTGTACTTGATTAAAATTGATTGACAATAAAAATAATTTTTTTTTCAAAAATTTACCCAAAAATCCATAAGGACCATTTTTGGAATAATACTTTCAATCTAATAATAATATATATCGTCGTTTAAAGCAGGGTTGTTGTGAATATTCGCATTCGCATTCGCAACCGCGGTGTTTCCGCATTAATTTTAACATTCACATTCGCTTTCGCATTCGCAATAATCAATGCGGAGCTTTTGCGAATTTATTTTTAGGAAACATTTTAAAAACAGTAAACTTCTCGGGCAATATTTACTTGTCGGGCAATATTTTTTCATAGGGATATACATGGATCCTTGGCTAAAAACTTCTGTGGTAAAACTGTCCCTTCTTTGCTATTTAAAGTCAAAGAGTAAGCTCCTTCAATATCGATTTCCAGCAGAGATGATCAACGTCTGGTTATAAAGAGAATCGATGCTCAAATAATTAAAAAGCTATTGGTCTTACCTTTAATTACGTAACTATCTGAGATTCAAATACTTATAAAAAACGGGGGGCTTTTTAAAATAATACAAATATTCTGATCCGATTCGGCTGGCAGCCACGACTTTTAAAACAGAATTTTGTTCAAACATAATAATTTATTTGCCATATCCACCTATTTACATAGCTCGCTATAAGCACAAATTTTTCAAACCAGCCGCAGAAGAAAGTACTAAAAATGAATTACAAAAACTAAAATCGAAAAACGCTGATAAAGTTACAGATTCCCCAAATTCTGAAATAGCCAAAGGAATGAGAATAAAGAATTCTTTTCAAAAAGCTTTAGAAATACCTGAAATATTTATCTGGTTTAGCTTGTAAGCGCTGTTTAAACAACGATCGCGATTATGCTAGATTCTAATTGTTTCTTAAAAATACTTGAAAATTCAAAAAAATTCCACATTCGCAACATCCCTAGTTTAAAGTACAAAACCGCGTATCAGCAAAATGCAAAACCTCGTATGTGAGGTTGCATAAATTATTTTCTAGAGAGTAAAAACACTCATATTTCAAAATGATTCTCGTTTTTATAAAGCAATCGCATTTCTGGCTAGTATAATTTAGGACGAATGGATAAGGATTGAGCTAAGAGCTTATGTAAGCAAATCCAATTTTTGGCAGCCAATGTCAGTTACGCGGTTTTGCAGAATGACGATACGCGGTCTTGTACTTTAATCGACGATATGTATAAGATTATATATATATAATTATATACATATAATATAACAATAATGACGACAGCCGTACTTTAATTATATTTTTATTAATCTTTATTTCAGATTATTTACATCACTGCCAAAATATACTCAACGTTTACTAGTTTTATTATTTGGTACATTCCGTGTTATTGCCAGCAATGCAATTCAAGCTAGTACCGGCATGACCAGTGAGGCACTGGGCGTTTCAGTGGCCCCGAGCTTCTTTCAATCGTGCGTTAGTGATGGTAAAACAGCGCGTATGGAGGACGTGCTTAAGTTTAAGGTAGGTCAAAATGTGGGAACATGCACATGGTAAAAATATCCTCTTTAATACTGTTTCGTATCATGAGTAGTACTGTATAAGCTAAACAATCCTCCGTTTTTCCGACAGGGTGGTTTGAAGAAACCGAAACCGGTTCTGGTGCTGCTCTTAGGGTTTCTCCTTAATTTCTAATAAATATACTTATTTTATATTAATAAGTGTTCACATATTTTTTTATTTTTTGTAAATATTCTTAATTTATTGTTATTTTTATAAAAATACTGTTCATGCTTAAAGGGCTGTTTCCAGCTCTCAAGAAAAACGAAATATTCATATCAAATGACTCACAAGAAATGGAAAAACAATTTTTCTATAACAGTTTCTTAAATCAGTAAGATAGTAATAACCAGGGAAAGGATTTTATGGAAATTGCCTTTTTTTCTGCTAAAGAGATAGAGTATATTCGATTAAGAATGTCCACGATTTAGCTTTCCCTGATTCCATATATACACATTTGATGTTGCCTTTTTTAAAATATTTGCCTTTTTTTGCCTTTTTTAAGATTTTTGCCGTTTTGCGTTTTCTACCTTTAAAAAAGTGATTATAGCATTTACAATTTATTTTTTTTTAGATTAAAAAATATACTCATATCCATGCGGCTTATAGAAGCGCAGGGACCTCTTGCCAAATTGGTGTTGAAAAAATTCAAAGCCGTTTTCTCAGCAAACGTAGGCTTGGAGACAATAAGGGGTGTGGATAAAATTGTAAAGGGCGAGGAAAACGCCCTTATTCCTGATAATATGAACGTTTCAAACGTTCCATATTTAAATTGGGCTCCACTTGTATCAACTTACGTCGAGCGCACATTTAGTACATTCAAGGCTTTTCTTCGCGAAAATCGAATGAAAATGCTGCCAGAAAACTTCAAAATGCATCTTGTGGTTCAATGTTACTACAACTATACAGATTAAAGTTTTATGAGTTAGAAACTCGAAAGGATAAAATAGTCAAAGATTCAAAGTACAAATTTTTCATATAATGAAACTACTTCATAGTTTTTCTCTTTTTACTTGTAATATAAACATTTCTAAAATAAATGTATTTTTTGATTGTTCTTCGTATTTTCTGTCTTTTTTTAGTGCCTTATTTTGCTTTTTTTGCAATACCTAGTGCCTTTTCCTGCCTTTTTCGCTATTTTATTTTGCCTTTTCCAGCCTATTTCGTTACTTTATTTTGCCTTTTTTATAGGTTTTTAGGTCCTAAAAATCCGTTCCCTGGTAATAACACTGTGGAACACGAAAAGAAAACTATAGTTTGATAGCTGTTGGCCAAACGAACAATGCTTCATAATAAGATTTACTAGATAAATTCGTGTTCTCGGGAAAAAAAGTTTTCATGATCCAAAGGTCTGAGTACCGACGGCCAAATTTTTTTCTCCATATTTTAGAAAATGTATCGTTTTTTCCGACTTAGAAGGGCAATTATATTTCTATGCGAAGCTGTGTTTCATGGCAGAAATACACACGGAGGTTTACCATTGCCTGCCGAGGGGCGACCGCTACTAGAAAAAACTTGTTAATGTTTTTAGATATTTTATGATGTTTGGTTGAACCGGGCTCGAACCCAGGCCCCGCTGAATGGTAGCGCGCACTACTAACCACTACACCAGAGAGGCCGCCATCTCTGACTAACATTTGGAATATTTTTAGGTTTTTGAAATTTTGGGCGTTTGGTTAACAAGTATAAAAAAAATCGAACACACTTCCTATAGAAGAAAATGAGTAACACCGTTAGCAAAAAAAATTATCAAAAGTTTGCAAGTCCTGGTTATTTATTTATTTTTAATAATTTTAATCTAAAATTTAGTTCGGTCTATAACAGAAACCACATAAATAAAAGTTTAAACGCTTGCACAAAGTTAACAAAAGTTAATCAAACTTTAAAAACATTTCATCAAAATTTCGAACTTTTTATTCAGGATTTTTAGACAATTTTCGAGTATGCAGTTTTGTTTGTAGCCCATTCAATTTTAGTACATTAAAGTGGAAGTTTTAAGTCACTAAAAACTACCGTTAATTATTTTGAATTTTACTATTATTATTTTTACTACTATTATGTAGCTCTATATAATGCTAAATGCCAGGGGTGGGCAAGGCCGAGGCCGAAAAGAGCCACATGTAAATTCAAAATGCTACAAAGAGCCACAAAAATAAAATAACAAAAACAAAAATGTTATTTTTAAATAAAATTATTGTTATTATTAAAATTATTTTTAAATAAAATTATTGTTACAAATGAAAAACATAAATTTTATTATTCAAATTCAAAAGATCCCTCTCAGTTATACGTTGTACTAAAAATTTAAAATATACGTCACGCAGCTGTTTTCACCAGCGAGTATTTTAAATCTGGTACTTTTTGCTGGAATCCAAGCAATGGCAAAACTTTATCTTGCATTTCCAGCGCCTTATCTTCTTTTAATTCCAAAAACTCCAACTCCTCTTCGCTTTTCTTAAAAAGGAGTTTTTCGGATATTGCAAATTCATCTTCAATTGTGCTAGATAAAAAAGAGTTTATAAAGTATGCAAACGTACATTTAAATAATTTCAAATGGGCAAATCCTTTTTCAAAATCTTTTAAATCATGTGCAAATATTTTTTTCTAGCCATGGAAAATTATGAGATATTCTTTTTTGAGATCATGAGTAAAAGACGTAGTCTAGCTACAAATTTGCGACCAATAAAAAACATTTTTATTCTCTCCTTGCAGAGACAAATTCAAGCTTTGCAAATGTTCCATCATATCTATAATGACAATAATTATGGCAGCCGAATACGGGACTAAAATAATTTTGCTAATTTTTTCCACAAAAGCTGAAGGCTTTTAAAACTCTTTTTCAATGATTCTAGATTTATTAGCCTTGAAACAGCATTTTATTTGGCATATATTTTATCGATATTTTGTGAAAACAGCACATAAATATTCAGTTGTAACGTCACTCATTCGTAGAATATTTTTCCATAACTTTGTACTTTGTGCTCGGGATTTTTACCCCGCAAGATTTTTTTCAAACATTCCTATGAAACTACTTTTGAAACACGAGTGGTATTCAACGGATTATTGTCATCCGGAACGGGCTGAATGTAAAACGTACCCTTCCATCTTTGAGAACTTCTTTACTTTTACAACATTCTCCTGGTAGTCATCTTATTTGGAGTTTCTCATGTTGAAGATGCAATCCCTCGTACAATCAGCAATAATTTTTATTTGATGTAGTTTCGGCTAATGAATACCTTCTCTCTTCACAAAATTTGAAAACTGCCTCCACACCGGCACATTATACAGCAAGCCGTGTGTATTTTTTGTGGGCTTTGGAATCCATATACGTAAACATAGTTTGAAATTTTAAAGTAAAATGTGAGCAAAAGTGACAATTTAAAGATGAAATTCTCGAAAAAAGGAAAATCTGCTCTACTAAATATTCAACGTGAAATGCGTTGAAAGAAACCCTTGAAAAGCTAAATACTAATGAAATTTCTTTTAGAAATTTTTAACAACAATCATTAACCTCTATTTTCGATTCATACTCACAAATACCCAGTTTTTCTCCTCAAAATTATAACTTCAGAGACCATCTACATATGTATGTATATGCTCCTTGATTCGAATCGCAAGCGTCCAGACCTAAAAATAAAAACTCGTTCATAGACATGTCATTTTAACGCAAAGGCGCCAAAATACCGAATACGGGACAAATATCGGACATTAAAAGAACATTTGGCGTCCCGTATAAAATAAATAAATTACCAGACGAAGCACGAAAAAAGAGGACTTTCCCGTATAATACAGGACGGATGGTCACCGTAATCATATCGGTAAAGAACATTAAGGGCCGTTTTCTAATGTCAGCAGTAAAGTTGCCTTTTCTAACGGCAGAAAATTGTTCTTCACTTGAAAGAGCGTTATGAATATTTTCGTTTTCCTATCTTACCGGTAAAAATAAATTCGTTATTCCAAAATTACGGCAACGCGAAAGTGAAACTTCACTGCATTCAGGTTGGTAATGCAACATTAGCAAATAAAGAGCAAGAGCCACTGTTAACAAAACCCAAAACCTTGGTTAAAATGTCTAATATATCTGACCCACGAACCAAAACCGAACCAAAATTAAAAGTTGATTACAAATTTTTAAAGGCTACAATTTATTGATTCGAGAAATTAATGCGCTGATGAGGAAACGAAAACTCGTATATCGAAATCCAACACAATGGAAAAGAATGTCCAGCAAAGAAATATGTATTTTAAAAAGTAAAAAGAGCCAAAATGTTCTAAGCAAAGAGAAAGTACAAAAACCGAAAATTATCAAAAAATACATTTATTTTAGAAATGTTTATTTTACAAGTAAAAAGTGAAAAGCTATGAACTAGTTTCATTATACATATCGTCGCCTGGGTAAAATATTGTCGTATGTTAATTTTGGTAGGTTGTGGCAAATCGCGATTGAAGTTTGGAATACAATTTCTCAAAAACGCGAAGATAGATTTTCTCCAAAGTCTCTGAAAATGTTACTAGTTCACAAAACTCTTAAATTATTTAATTGTTGATTTGTTTTGAGTTTATGAAGGATTTTCTTTAGTAAAAAACATCGCTTACGACAATCTTTTACCCAGGCGACGATATAAAAAAATTGTACTTTGAATGTTTGACTATTTCCTCCTTTCGAGTGTTTAACTCACAAAACTTGTAGAAACATTGAACCACAAGATGTATTTAGAAGTTTTCTGGCAGCATTTTCTGAGCTGATACACGTGGCGCCCAATTTAAATATGGAATGTTTAAAACTATGTTCACATTACAGCATAAATTACTTCGTTTCGATTAAATTACTTCACATAAACCAAGTACGTTCACATTTTCTTTCTTATTTCTATAGCACGTTACGTACAAGTGTGTGGTTTGTACATGACTTCAAGAAAACAAATGGTTGCACACCTTTAGGCATTTTTTCAAATTTCTTCAACAGTGGGGGCTAAAGTAAATGAAACTTCTTTCTTTTCTTCATTTGGCTCTTGATTTATGATAAATTATTTCATTTCTATTTAATTTATTGACAGATTTCATAAACGGAAATTACTTGATTTCAGCATAATTTGGTAATAAATTACAAATGAGCCGTAAATTACGATAATGTAATGTGAACATGCTTTAAAACTTTCATATTATCAGGAATAAGGGCTTTTCCTGCCCTTTACAAAAAAAGGTAGAAAAGACAAAAAGGTAACATCAAATGTGTATAAATGAAATCAGGGAAACCTAATTCTTAAACATTCTTACTCGAATATGCTCTATCTCTTTAGCAG